TCAATGCCCTTATTCTCCAGAGTTGACCTTTCCATTTGTTCTTATTGCTATTATTCTCCAGATTGACTTCCCTTGTTCATGGTGAGGCTAGTTGCTGTGTCTGTCCCTGATGTCCGTTTGCCATGTCTTGTTGGTCCTCTCTGAACCAGTGGAAGATCAGCCTGTGCCCCTCTATTGAAGCCACTTTACCTTTGGCCAATACCCTGTTCTGAAATTTCGTGAAAATATCCTTAGCCTTTTCGGGGTTCGCCGCTGCCTGTTTCTTGGTTCGCTGCCATTGAGCTGTAATGTCCGTTTGTAGCAGATTATGTAGTGTTGCTCGAGCTTCGATTCTGGTTGACGGATTTTTGCCTATCACTTGTTGACATCTTCTTTTTCAAATTGTCCATAATGCGTATTGTCTCAATAGCTGGTAAATGCACTTATGGCTGGAGTGCCAACTTCTCGGGACTTCCGTTCCTGTAAGATGAACTTTTTTGCTCCTTGGGAATGCAAATTCCCATGTGCGATCCCACAGGGTTCGAGCTATAGACCAAACAAACTCCACTTCCGGGCATAGCAGAAGGCAATGAAGCAATGTTTCGGGTACTCCTTCGGTGCACATGACGCAATTTTTCTCCCTCCCATCTCTATTGTTCCTGCTTCGTTTTTCGTATAACCAAGCGTTGACTGGTAGTGCGACATGAAATATAAGCCACTGCATACTTCGAACCTTATTCAGCCTGATTGTGTGCAAAATCGACCATGACAATTTTCATATTTGTTGTCTTGATATTCCCACCCTTTTTTCCCATCTCATTGCTAGGGGTTGATCCAACTGGGTTGATCTCTTTCTTAATCTATACCCCCATTTAGTTGTGTAGTGGAGTATGTTAATCCTCTTACCTATCCTTGAACCATTCTCTTTCATGTTCCAAGCCCAGTGTACTGGATCAATTTCCAGATCTTGAATAGGTGTTGTGGGAGCAAAAATTGTGAATTCATCAGTCTCGATGACCCTGTTTTTCGTTAGTAAACTTTTGATGATGGCTATTGATACCCTTGTCTCTTTGTCCAATGGACTAACCATAAAGCCTGGGTTTAGGATTGGATACATGTCTGCCTCCAACCACTGATTGGTTGAGCCTACCTCCTGGTGAATGTGGAACCCTTGTTCTGGTTCCGAGCTTGAGGTCCAAGTTGCCCAATCACCCGTGCCCCATTTAAACGGGCTTTTCAATATTTGTGTCCATTCTTGGGGTATGGAGTTAAGTACTTCATTCAAATTCTCARTTAGCCTGTGACAACCCTTTATTCCTTCCCTCATTTCCCTCCCCGTTTTCCACCTATTAAATGCCCATAGATGCTTTACCTGCCATACCCCATGCTCCAACCAATTCCCCCACTTGGCATCCTTTGCTGTAAGTGTTCTGGGTTTTCCCTGCGAGTCCTTCAACCACGGGTTACAAAATAAAGGCTGCCTGAGAACCTCCTCTCTCGTTCTTGGATATTTGACTCTTGTCGAGAAAACTTCAGCCCATATCTTGAGGATAAGGGCCCAGTATGAAGACCTAGCTTCATTTTCCCCACCCCCCTCTGCTCTTCTTGTTCCTATCTTGGCCCAACCCTTACAGAATAGCTAGAACGTGCCCTCCATATTTGGCGGAGTTGTGTATCTTGCCAATCCCCGTATATGTTCCAATGCTAGGGAGACCCATCTCAGGTGGGGTTGCGTAAGTAATTTGATAATCCATTTAGTTTTAAGTGCTCTCATCTGTTGGGTGGGATCTAAAATACCCAGCCCTCCTTGATCCTTTGATTGAATTACTTGCCTCCAAGCTACCTTTGATATGAAATTGGTCTTATCCTTGTTTCTTGTTTTTTTGTTGTGTCCTGACTCGCCCGAACTGACGAAGTGTTTTCTTTTGGAGTCCACCAGTTATTGTCACAGCAGCTGGCTGTGGAGAGTCTTCAGTCTTCTGTACTCGCTCGAACTGACGAAGTGTTTTCTTTTGGAGTCCGCAAGTTATTGTCACCGCAGCTGGCTATGGAGAGTCTTCAGTCTTCTGTAGTGTGTGTAATCCTGTCTGGTCTCGAACGTGTTGGACTCTTATGGATGACTATCTTAAACTTCTGCTCTCTGTGTGGATAGCCAGAGATTTCGAACGTCAAGCATTGTGTGGAGGGGGTATGCACAGGGGAGGAGGGAGGAGGTATGTGGGAACTGATCCGATATCTGTGACATTTTTCCCGTCTTTTGTGTGCGGGTGTCTTTGACTTCCAGGTGTATTATGTGATCGACAGACCAGCCAAGGGATGGGACAGAGGTGTTGGGTATATCAATGAGGACATGCTGAGGAAGGCAATGCCGCCACCGTCAGATGAGAATCTGATAATGGTATGCGAATCGACGCCCCTTATGTGCGCAATTTTGTAAGAGCGTCCATAACTTGTTAGATCTATTCTCGTATGTCTGCCAATGATTTTGACGTTCCGCTTTCTCTCTTTCTCCCTCCCTCTYTTCTCTCCACTTGCGAAACTGATGGATAGCCGTGTATTTGAAAGTTTTGCACGCATTTTGAGTCACTAAGAAACTGCTAGCCTTAGCAGCTATCAGGTTGCTGGCAAGAATCCAACCCTGGGAGTGCTTGCGATCTCCATCTTATCCATCACTTTGTCGTTCGGCACCATCTTCATTTTTCTGCACCATCTTCCTTGCTCTATGGGTCTTACAGCTTGCAGAGATTTATGGCTTCTTGTAGTTCTCTGCTTATATGGAAATGTGTGTGCATGCATAGTGTTTTTGATGTTTTTGAATATGAAGTCTTAAAGCTATGTTCACTATGGATGAGTTGCCCTGATGTGAGCATGATTTGACTTTTACAACGTCCAATTAAGTAACGGAATGTTGAGACACCTGCAGGGTTTGTACCTGAAATAGGTCCAGGCGCTCACAACTGAATGAATGTGAATAGAGCATGGTAGAGCACGCCTCATTTCCCTTACGTCCCTTTGTGATAAACCTTTGTCTAGCAYGCATGATTAATCAGTATCACTCACACTCTGCACCAAGATAGAAAGCCTGGTCATCGTTGCTGTATCTAAACTGAAAATTGCCCCAAACACAGCTA